TAGTTCTCTTTTAAGTCCTGTAAGTTGCAAGGTGGGGCCTCTATGGATCAGACTTGTTTTCCCTGCACATACCACAGATGTTCGATTGGATTGAGATCTGGAGACTTTGGAGGCCAAGTCAACACCTCAAACTCATTGTTGTGTTGCTCAAACCATTCTTGAACCATTTTTGCACTGTGTCAGGGAGCATTATGCTGCTGAAAGAAGCCACTGCCATCAGGGAATACCAGTTCCATCAAGTGATTTACTTGGTCAGCAACAGTGTATAGGTAGGTGGTACATGTCAAAGTAACCTCCACATGAATGGCAGGACCCAAGGTTTCCCAATAGAACATTGCCCAAATATAATATAGAGCAGTGGTTCTCAACCCGTGTAACCTCCGGACCCACATGTTTCCTTGGTCATTAAGGCGTGACCCAAAAATTATTTCATTTCTGAAACATTTAAATTTATTACACAAAAAGTACATATAACAAGGCTTCCAGGCAGAGACCGCTATTTCACCAGATAACACCAGATGGCATTATTGCACCTATTATGCAGACAAGAGAAAAGCTGATGCTATACAAGACAGTTTTTTGTACATTTCCTCCTTTATTCTGTCATCCATCACTGATTCTGGTGTGTCATGACTGGGATCATTAACTGTCCCAATTTTTCCATAAATCCATGGTGTTCTTCCATTTGCTGAATAAAACATAAACTTTAGCATCACTGTAGGAATCCAATTAATGCCTGTAGATATTTACTGATTTTCTAAGTTGTTCAACTTGTGTACCTACAATTTTCTCTAGCAGTAATATTATAAGTATTCATGTCCATAAATGATCAGAATTCAGCACACACAGATTGTTTCAGATCGGCACTGCTGAAAATCAGCACATGTATAGAGCATGCTTCGTTTTCCAGCCACTATATTTATTGGCTCATTATGATACGGTCATCAAGTCACTAGATTTTTCCTTTCTGTTCACAAATCTGATTCAGTAATTCCGACAAATGTCTGGAGCATTCAGATCTGGACAGAAATGAATGAGCAGATTTGGCGGAGCAACTTGCCAGAGTCAGATGTTGCAGCAGTTGAATTTATGACAAATCTCACATTGAAGTGATTAGAAACATAAGAGCTCTGTGCCACAATCTGACACATTCCACACAAAACTCCAAAACTGGACTGGACAAAATTATTGGCACCCTCCATTAATATTTGGTAGCACAGCCCTTGGAAAAAAATAACTGAAATCAGCGGCTTCCTATAACCATCAATGAGTTTCTTCCACCTCTCTACAGGAATTTTGGACCACATTTATTTTGCCAACTGCTCCAGGTCTCTCAGATTGGAAGGGTTCCTTTTCCCAACTGCTGTTTTGAGATCTCTCCACAGGTGCTCTATGGGATTCAGATCAGGACTCATTGTTGGCCAGTCCAGTACTCTCCAGCGCTTTGTCTGAAACCATTTCGGCTGTAAGGCCCATGACCTCTGACGGAGACCCAACTTTCTGACACTGGGTCCTACATTGCACCCCAGAATTATTTGCTAGTCTTCAGATTTCATAATTCCATGCACACAGTCAAAACATCCAGTGCCTGAAGCAGCAAAGCAACCCCAAAACATCAGTGAACCTCCACCATGTTTGACTGTAGGGACTGTATTTTTTTCTTTAAAGGCCTAATTTCTTGTTGTAATTTTGTTTCGTCTGTCAAAAGCACATTCTCCTAAAAGGATTTTGGCTTCCTCAGGTAAGTTTTGACAAACTCCAATCTGGCTTTTTTTTATGTTTCTGTGTCAGCAGTGGGGTCCTCCTGGGTCTCCTACCATAACGCCCCTTTTTATTCATTCATTCATAAAAGGAACCCTTCCAATCTGAGAGACCTGGAGCAGTTGGCGAAAGAAGAGTGGTCCAAAATTCCTCTAGAGAGGTGTAAGAAACTCATTGATGGTTATAGGAAGCAATTCATTTCAGTTATTTTTTTCCAAGGGCTGTGCTACCAAATATTAAATGAGGGTGCCAAGAAATGTGTATCCATCTTTGGAGTTTTGCGTGGAATGTGTCAGATTTGGCTTTTCTTTTTCTCCACCTTTGTGTCATACCAATACAAATAAAAGAAATAAACATGAGAATGCCTAAACACTTGTAATTGCAACAAGTTTCTGCGCGAAGTGGAATAACCTGACAGAAATGCAGAGGTGCCAATATATTTGGCCATGACTGTACATTCTGTATATATGCGCTGTTTTACCTTTCAGAGGATTTGTAGTTTGTTTCAAAGTAACGATAGTAAAGTAAAAGTAAAGATTTCTTAAAGTAGAAATGAAGCATATTTCTTAAAGTAGAAATGAAGCCAAAACTTGTTTTTAGCTTTATATAGAATACGGGAGGGTTATAACCCCTGTAGGTAAACAGGCTCTATTCCGAATGCAAATCAACCCCAATTTGTTTCAGTCATTGGAGTGTAATTGTAAGTGTAATAAGGGAATATGAAGGGTTTATACTGTTTGCCAGGTCATGCCATGTGAGGGGAAGGAATACAGACTTAAAAAAAGAAGTACAGTAACTTAGTAGGAAAGGAAGGAAGGAAAATGCAATGCCATGTACTGCTCCTGCTGAGACTTGGACTCAAGATAATGACATATAATTTGGGTGGAACCATTTCTGTTGGAAGCCGCACACTATTAAATCCAGGGCCTCCGTTTTAATCTCTTGAAAAACATTTCAATGAATAATCTGCAGTCTTTCTGACTTTCTCTGCAGCCTAATGATTGTAAAATTATTTGCATATCTTTTGTAGGATGCTGATAAAATAACATGAAGTTCCTACATACAGAATATGTGGTTTTCATGTTCTTTCCTATTGTAGACTCTGATATACTTCTGGGGGGCATTTTACCCTCTTTTCCTGTTAGGGGCAACTCACTATGTAGACCTAACCTAAAATGATTGGCGCTGGCTTCAACAAAAGTTGTGATTATGGTCTGGCCAAACAAAAAAACTCCTCTTACATTGGGGCAACCCCAGCACTACAAGGGTTCACTTCTCATTTATGTCGAGGGGACCAGTGTAAAGCAGTTTTCTTACCTGATCCCCGCTTCCACAGGCTCCAAAATATGTACCCACAGCCTCTTCTCCCCTTTGCTTTGAGAGTTGGAGGCCCACAGACACCATCACATCTAATGCAGGGTCCTTAGTCCTACATTATACATGAGGGGCAGTGCACAAGCCAGAGCATAGGAGAGATGAGGTGAGCATCAACTGCTAGGGGAGTTGGGATCAGGTAAGTAAAACCACTTTACACAATCCCCTGGACAAAAAGAGCTCTGGACCCTTGCAGTTGGGGGTTGCCCCACTGCAAGGGGAGTTTTTTAGGTTTTAAATCGGGTGGACAAATTAATATGGAATACAGGAGCCAGTCTATTCCAATCCAGGTGCCAACAGGCTTTTTAGGCGTCAGCTCCATTGACAACAACTAGAGAAAACCTCAAAAGTTAGGCACCAGCTGTAATTTTTATGAGGCATTGGTTGCCCGGCTCCTGGGTTTTGTCCAGCCCTACTTTAGGGCTCGTTTCCACCAGCACGTGCGCTCATCGCACTTTCCTTTGCCTGGAACGCAAGGGATCGCGTACACAAAGTCTCCTTGCAATATGGGGTGGGAGGGACCGTGGCAGTGCAGACACGCCCCCCTGCCCGCAGTGCGATCGGCCACACAGGACCACACGGTGGTACAATACCCTGCGTTCTACTGCGGTACAATCGCAAAAAATAGTGCATGCACATTCATATCTTGACATTTTCTGAAACCAATAACTAAGACCCACCCTCTCTACCTCCTGAGGGTGCGTAGTCCTCACTAAGGCCACCATTACAATAATAGAGGGAGGCAGGAGAGGTGAAGACAAGCTCAACCTATACAGGAGACGACTTTAGCTGTAAATCTTTTGGGCCTACTGACCTTTTCATGTATTTTTTTTGCAAAAGGGAACCCTTTGTTTATGTATTTCAGTTTCAATTCTACATCAACCTGTTCTTGACACTTAAGCCATTATTTATTAGTGGGTTCAATGAATCAAGCACATCAGAGACTTGCTATTTAAATGCACGTTTGTTACATTCTGGTAAACAGCTGCCCAATAGGAGATGTGCATTAGGGTTGCCACCTGTCCAGGATTCACCCGGGCAGTGCCGGTTTTGAATGCTGTTTCCGGGTTTCGTGGCAGCAGAAACCCGGACACAAGATGTCAGGCAGACAGTGGCAACCAAAATTAAATGGAAAAAAAGGTGGCAACCCTAATGTGCATGCAATCTTCAGGTCTGCCCCATCTTCTATATAGCACTTGCACAAGAAAGGTCTAATCCCAGGTACCGTGTAACCTTCCTAATGCAGAGGACTTGATGCACACACTGTGGTTGATTTACTAAGGAAGTAAAGCATGTTCACTTTGCAGGGGAATTTTCTCTTAATTTAGTGAATGACATGTAGCTCTGCTGACTTCTGTCATCCAATCATGCGTAAGCAAAAACACAGTTTCCTCATTTTCCTTGCTTGTGATTTTGGTATTCTTAACAAAGTAAAATAATTTTCACTTAGCTTACCTTTTACTGAGCTTTGCGAATCACCACATTCACTGAGTTAAGTAAAAATCCCTTTTAAAGTGAAAATTCCCTTGCAAGGTGACTATGCTTTACTACTTTAGTAAATCAATCCCACAATTCCCAATTACACTGATGTTTGCTGGATTCTACTGGTAGTAGACTGTGTGTTTAACCATGTTAGGGGAGTTGTAAGCTCCTCTGGAGTAGGGAATGATGGAAGTTATTTAGTGTTTTCTATTAAATGCTGTAGATATAGGTCGACCCTACATGAGTACAGGAACACACAAATAATAGATGGTGTCAAGTCCCTTCAGATATCTAAAATTCTGTGTCAGCAGGTGAAGGGAGCCTACTGTTGAGAGTAAAAGGATGCATTTTGTAATTTAGCTTCTGTATGTTATCCTAGGTACAGTTGGAAGAAGCTCTTTTATTAATATGAGTGCCACCATTAAGGAATGCCTTGAACTTCAGTTACTAGAGCTGGAAATGCTCTTCTCTATGTTTCCTAACAAAGAAGACATTATACTGAATGATGCCAAATCTGTTCCTCTAATAAGAAAGTATGTAGAAGGAATGTATCAGTCTCTGCCACCATCTGTTGGATATACAGTGTGTGTTAAGACCGAGGATGAGAAGGTAAGAATGTTTCATTTATCAATCGTTTTCTCTCAATCCTTAATATTGTTCTTTAGTATGATTTTATATTGTTGTCTGTTCTTCATGTTTTAATTATGTGTTGCCAGCAAATATGGCCTTGCAACTTACAACGGGCTTGAAGGTCCAGTTTTCTAAAATCTGCATTTTTGATTTTGTTAGTTGTTGGTATATCAAGTCACCCTTTGGATCCATCTAATATTCATCTTGGGGGTTCCAGTGATACATTGTCATTGCCATATTAACTGGCTTTGCTACTCTTGTTATACTGCTGCAGTAGGAGAAATTCTCAGTCCATAGGATTTTTGATGGAATTTGCACATTGAAGGGGACGTTTCCCTTAGTTTAGTAAATAAAGCTCTGCTGACTTCCATCACCCAATTATGTGCAAGCAAAAATACTGTTTTTCTTATTTTCCCTCACCAGTCACCAAGCTAAAGGAAATTTCCCCTGCAAAGTGCAAATTCCATTGAAAGGTGAAGTGTCTTTTTAGTAAGTCAACCCCTAAGATTCAGCCAACTCATTGAACTCTTGTAAGCTAGATTCTAGTAAGTTAGGATTGTTGCCTGCTATCTTTATAGACTATAAACCAACTCCCCTCTATAAGAAGAGGAGAGGGAGAAGGGTTTTGTTTTTAGTCCTGCTCTAGGGTGACAACATTACTGCATCATAAATACAGTACATTAAGACAGTGTTGTCACCCTAGGAAAGGAAATATGTTGTTGGCAGGTTTAATAGGTTAAAAAAGGAAACAAAAGTCTGATAAAAAATAAATAAACAAATTAATACAGCCATAACATTTATGGATAGATACATTGCAATATATTATAGTTTGCTCTTGGGTAAAGATATGTTTTACGTTCTGTTGCTCATTTATATTAGATCTAGTGAGTATATTGTTTGTGATGACTTGGCCGTCCTGGATTTTGTTAGTGACAATGTTGTAATTGAAATAGGATTTTTTTTTTCTTTTTGGACAAAATAAATAACATATAATAAAAGTGGAAGTTTTACTTTAGTTTTTTGGTGTCTTTGTTTCTTAAGTATCTACTTCATATTTCATTGAGGTGTCAGCACTCTTAAAAGCATCCTTTTGATATATATGTCTTTCACCATGTAGTGTTTATATTAACCACTTGCTGACCGGGGTGTTTATACCCCCTTCCTGGCCAGGCCATTTTTCAGTATTCAGAGCTGCGGTACTTTGACTGACATGTATTCCGTCATGCAACGCTGTACTGAAATGAATTTTATACCATTTATTGGGCACAGATAGAGCTTTCTTTTGGTGGTATTTAATCACCACTACGGGTTTTTTTAAAACTATATAATGAAAAAAGTACCGACATTTTAAAAAAAAACCTGTTCTCCCTACGTTATGTTATAAAACATTTATTATTACCCAATTTTTTGGTAAAATATAAAAGATGGGGTCACGTCAGGTAAATAGACACCAAACATGTCAAGCTTTTAAATTGCGCGCACCCGCAAACTCACAAATAACTACCATACCCCAAATTCACCACAGCCGACGCTTTAAAAGCTTTTAACGCTCATCAGTTTAGTTTTATCAGTGATTGATGACCCTAAAATGATTGCTCTCATTCCGACGTTCGCGGCGATATGTAACATGTGCAGCGCAATGGATGTAATCGTCGTTTTCGCATGTAGGCGGACTCGACGCATGTTTGCGTGTGCATGTGGGGGCTGGGACTTTATTTTTTTTATTGCTTTGATATGTGACTTAATTCTTTATTTTTTTTGTAACTTTAATTTTTTTTAAACTTTTTTTTTACTGAACTTTAATGCTATCACAGAGGGAGCAAACAAACTCCCTATGTGATAGCCAATTTGCAGTGACAGGTCCTCTTTATGGAGACATCAGGGGTCTTTAGGACCCCTAATGTCACCTAGGGACCCCCAGAGAAGCTGATGAAGCACTTCCTGCATTCCGACGAGGAGGAGGAGATCAAACGGAGATCGTGTACTGAACTCCGTTTGATCTCCGGCCACAGAGCTGCTGTGCTGGTCCAAAAAAATAAAACGCTTTACCAGCGGTTTAAATTTACCCCTGTCTTCCTCGCGCGCTTCCATCCGAAAGTGTGAAAATTCTCGGGCGGCCGCAAAGGATCTTGGGGCGGGCGCATTCGCAGTTCACATTTTCGGCCGGGATGCGAGGAGTGACGCAAGGTAAGTCTATGGACGTGTGCACCCGCATGCAGACACCGTGGGACAGGAAGTGCCAGCGAGCCCAGAGGAGTCGGCGCTGGATCGGACACCTGCTGCACCGCTGGAGAGAAGGCTGAAAACATCAGGAAAGAAGAAGAAGATCAGATTAAGAGATATAATTTAAGGTAAGTGCTTTATTTAACGTTGGGATGAGGGGAAAAAAAAGTTGCCTTTAATGTCACTTTAAAGCCCAACTCCAGGATATATCCCCCTCCCACACCCGCTATGATTGCTGGATGAAAAGAAAAATAAATCCCTATCTAAAAGTCCTTTTTTACTTACCTTAAAGTAGTATTAAAGGCTGGGTTTTTCTTTTACTTTAACCCCTTCATGACTGAGCTTCTTTTTAGTTTCTGTTCGCAATTAACTGACACACTTTTGACATTTTTGCTGTGTGATTCTTCCACGTCAGTAATATACTTTCTTACAAAGTGCACCCACACATATTATATATTGTTTTTTAGAGGACAGATAGGGCTATATATTTATATCACATATGTGTGTCTAACGCCTCACTTAGGACAGCACAGCTAAAAAAAAAATGCAATAAATACATTAATTTATTTGTCCCTTATTTTTTTTACACTTTTTTTTTCTTTACACTTTTCTTTATTTTTTTTACACCTTTCACTATTTTTTTAAAAATTGTATTTCATTTATTTAATTATATCAAGCAGTCATTGTGAATTAATCTCACTATTACTGCTTGATAAATTAATACATTTTTGGTTATTATTAGGCTGCTTCAAACTTCAGAACAGCCAATAATAAGTTAGTGACACTGATCCTGCAGCAGTTCAGGATTCAGCTGTCACTAAAGGTTTTCTGATCGTTCCAACAGCGATCAGAAAACTGAAACATTCTTCTTTCAGGAATAGATACATTATGTATCTATTCCTGAAAGTGAAAGAAAAAAAAAGCCAGTATACGATCGAGAGAGATATCTCTCTTGATCTATACGAGCTGTCAGAATGCCGGCTTTTGCCAGCATGTTTGCCCGCTCTGCTTTGACTCTCAGACACCCGATATTAAGGTATCAGGTGTCTGAAAAAGGCATCCTTTAATGAATGGTAACCACTGAGAATCAGCCCTGTAATGCAGCAAATAACTTGTCACGTACAGTGTACGTGACGAGTCACTTGGTCCCTTTGTGGCGGGACGTACAGTGTACGTCCCCCGTCACGAAGGGGTTAATGCATTCTCTGCATCAAGGCAAAAAACACCCAGTACTTTCCTAACAGCCCGTTCCCCCCACACTTACCTGCAGCCACTCGTCTCCTCCACTGTGACCAGGAAGATACTCAGGGTTCCCAAAACTTCCTGGAGGGAAGAGGAGAGGAGCCGATGGCTGCTTCTGCTGTCAGTCAAGATGTGACTGCAAGGGTGGGGGCATGGCTTGCCGCAAGCTGTGTGTGTCTCTATGGACACATACAGCTAGGTGCACGTATGGGTGGCTCCACAGCAGTCGTCTATCTAATGCAGGCTCGCGTATGGGGGGCTGGCGGTCTGGATACCACTTGAGAATGAGGAAATAAAAAGAACTAATTAATAAAAAACATATTTCTATAGTAAATTTAGCCCCATAAATAGAAAAATGGAAAAAAAACTTGAAGGTTTACTGTCACATGATGCTACAGCCAAGAATCTTCTTCTTTGCTGTTTACTTCCTGCTTGGGTCCTTCTTTGAGCATTTACATCAGCACCTGCATGATGCGGACACTTCCTATTGGATGTCCATTGGCCAGGTTAGTCTCAGGATCCAGAAGAGCACCGACTTCAGCAGAGGGAGTAAAGGGGAGTGTTGTTCTCAGGTGGTATCGCACTGCTGACTCATGGTCCCTCTAGCCACACATAGTGGTGGTGAGGGATCTCACCACCACTGTTGTAAAGTATCTGACTTTACAAGATTAGGGGAAACAAAAGCCTATAAGGATGGGTTGGAGGTGGGTGAAAGGGAAGGGTGGGAAAAATAGTTTTTGAGTAGAGTTAAAACTGGTAAATGCATAGCATTTTGAAGAAAAAAACGCTGAGGGTGTTTTACTGAACAAACTGAGAATGTTCACACAATACATTTTGTGTAAATATTCATTTCAGTTATCCAATCATGTGCAAGAAACCTTATTTCATCTGCATATGAGTGGATAGTTGAAGTGAATATGTACACAATTTAGTGTGTATTGTGTAAACATTCTCATTTTCTTAAGTAACTCAGCCTCACTGTCTGTTTCATATTTCTGCCTGATCTCTGTGTGTCACTATAAAGGATATAATAACCAGTTTTTTACCCTTTAGGTGAAGGCAGAAATGCACGTGTCACTTCCTCACAGTTACCCTACAAAGGAGCCACAGTTGTTTGTCCGATCTGATTTTTTGGAAAAGCAGCAGCATAATGATCTAAACAGATGCCTGTCATCCTTCATCGGTTCATTGGAGCGCGGGGATCTATGCATCATGAACGCTGTACAGTGGCTGAAAGACAACCTCTCCTCTTACATACAGAGCACCAAAAATGGTACTGACCCTGAACCAAACCTTAAAAGAGTTAGAACTTTCCATCGAATGTGGATTTACAGCCACCATATATATCGCCAGGAATTAAAGAAGAAGATCTTGGACTGTGCCAAGCACCTGAATCTGACCGGTTTCTGCTTGACGGGAAAGCCAGGCATTATATGTGTAGAAGGGGAGAAGGACCAATGTGAGGAATTCTGGCGTGACATCCGCTATCCTAACTGGAAACATATCTCCTGCAAACATGCTGAGACCATGGAAGTGACCGGTGCCATGGATAATCTGCGCCTGTTTACTTCCTTTGAAGAACTGATATTTGCGGCTCATGGAGACTATGGACTCAGGAATGATTACCACATGGACCTTGGGCAGTTTTTTGATTATCTTAAACAGCATCAAAGCGAGCACATCTTTCAAATACTGTTTGGCATTGAGGGGAAATCTTGACTGACCAAAATCTGGTTTATGGTTGTTGCCAAAATAAAAGTTTGGTTATTACCTAAATTATTGTATTTTTTTTTTATTTAACAACACAGGAGCAAAACTGAACACTAAGACATTTCTCAGCAGTATTACAATGTGGGTACTACTAAACAAGTCATGTTTTCCAGATCTCTACACCAATTCATGGAGATGATGAGATGCATTTATAGGGGATAGTAGGAAGACCCTGGGAACTCTTATGAGCTCTTTCTTGATCTGTCCTAGCTGCTTAGCTCAGAGTTTATGCGCTTTCCTCCACCTCCCTCCATCGGAAACTTAGATCTCTGCAAAATGGGAAGTGCATGTTACGACAATGGAGTAAAACTGAACACTTGTTATAAAATAACCAACTAGCTACAATGTTGCAGTCTGATCACTTGGATGGAAGGGTGGGGTGGAAGGTTCATGGAAGAAATGCCTCCTCCTCCCTGTAGCAGAATGATGACATCATCTCAGCCTAGGCAAAGTCACTTGATTGGAGTTCAAGGACTTCCTTTTTAATATCAATTTTAAAATTCAATAAAAACTAGATTATATAGTTTGGTTATAAGTACCATGAATGATTTTCACAATTATACAATCACTGATGCCATCACCAAAAGCATAATCGACATGCGTCTTAAATTCCAACCAACATGCCCATATTTTATAGCATTGTCCGTATTGACCTTTAGATGAAAAAAACATCTCCTCCATGTTACAGATACTGTAGATTTTTTTTTCAAACCACTGGTGTAAAGGGGGGATGGAAACCTTCTTCCAATACCATGGTATGAAAGCTTTTGCAGCATTAAGTAGATGAGGAGTCAATGAACATTTATATATAGATGTGGATTCTGCAGTGCAATGAAACACCACGTGTCATCCTCTATGGAAGAACCTATAATTTTTTCAACATAAGTCCTTACCTGACCCCAATATCCCTGTATAATGGGGCATTTCCACCATATATGCGCCAGTGTACCCATTTGTCCTGCACAAGGGGGAGAGATCTCCATACATCTTATGCATTCTGGACAGGGAAAGATACCAACAAGTGAGCAATTTATAGTTCATCTCCTCCGTAGAGCATGCCACTGAAGAGTGAATGTGTTAAAGCCAATACATTACTTTTTTTGTTCAGCTAGCGGGCCACCCTAGTCCCTCTGCCATCTAGTCAAAAAGTCAGGAAACTCATTTCTCCCAAGTTCCAGCAAAATTTTGTAAAAGCGGGAGATACACATGGTAGGCCCACTAGGTCAGATAAACATAGCTTCAATAGGACTAAGGTCCCTTAAAGATCGTAAAGGTTTTGGAAGAGATACAAGAAAATGCTGTAACTGTGAGTATCGCCAATATTCCGCCAATATTCCACAGTCTTGTTTTCCAGGTAATTTTAGAGAGGAAAACATTATTTAAAGTTCAAAAGATATTGCATTCAATAAGACACGTAAATAAAACAATGAATGAACATGTTTGTTAAAGAAATCTCATTTAAAATCAGCAGATGCCCACAGTTTTATGAACTTGTTTCCCATACTTACACCTATTTATGAAGATGCTGATCTTGTTGCTTTTTGGAGTGTGCTCTCTCATGAGTTGGTTGTAACCCAAGTTTCCCTTCATCTCATTTTGACATTTCAAAATGAGCTTAGTGGTAGGTCTCTTCTGAACGCCAGTCAGTGTAACAGATAAAGTTCTGGGCTTCAATGAACACTTTTTTGTTTTTTCTTCGAAAAGCCATTCTCAATATTTTCACATTTTTTAATGTGTTAGTTAATCCAACAATCAGTGAAAACAGCCCACATTTGCTAAACACATTCTTCAAAGTCACCAGTCTAAGCCTTCTATGCTGCTTTTGTATTTGTTGCATATTATTTTAAGACATATTTTGGCTTATTTATATTTGTTTAAAATAAATGACTTTTTGGGAACCCTCAGCATACTTTTCTAACATGTAACACTTCACGTCTACAAAATCAAGTGTCTGTTATAGCAAAATATTCCCTTACCATGATTAATGTACTTTATGTAACATAAACATTTTTTAACTACGCCATCATTATTGTTGGCTGCTGTGGTTCTGACAGTTCCAAAAATCTATTTAACTTCTTCAGTCCACCAGAGTCTTGCCATTCGGTAAAGAGACCGTCTGTTGTTGTCACAATTAGGCACCATGGCCAAACTTGTCATGTTTAATATATCTAAATGTGCTTGCAGCCTAAGGTAAGATACACACGAGAGAGTGCAGCTGTCACATGTTGTACACCATTATACTCAGCAGATTGAACATTTAGCAGAAATGATAGGTTCAGCAACACTTGGCATTACAACTCAGTAATTACAGTGAGTTGGAAGCACCGAACGTCTGCTCTGACCAACAGAGGATGTAACAATATAGCTGAGGTCCTAATTGACACATTGTCGCTTGCCAGGTCTCTGCTGCAGTGTTCTGTGAAATGTGGCAATTATGAAGGGCCAACGGCACAACTATACAAAAATTTTTTTGTGAGATGGGATTTTTATTACCCTTTCACTTTGCCTGTAATGACTTGATAAACATGTATTCAATTTCTTTTGATGGTCCTTCTGGATGATGGATCAATTTCATAGTAAATAATCAGATTCTACAGCATTCCAGTTTACTTAGTATGTGGTGTTTCACATTTATGTTAACTCTGAATATTTTACATTGTTTCATGCATTAAAACAATGTAGAACCAATGTGTGATTTAAAAGTCTTGTGGAGATTCTGACTCCTTAAAGTACATTTAAAGGCTCCTGTATGTCTAAGAAGGCCCCCAAATCCAGGTACTACAGGTGAAACTCAAATAATTAGAATATCGTGCAAAAGTAATTGCAGTAAGTGCTGCAAAAGGGGCCCAAACCAAGTACTGAGTACATATGCATGCTTGTACTTTTCAGAGGTCCGATATTGTTCTATGTACAATCCTTGTTTTATTGATTGCATGTAATAATCTACTTTTTTGAGGTTGTGGATTTGGGGTTCTTGAGGTTTCATGAGCTGTAAGCCATAATCATCGCAATTATGACAAATCACGGCTTGAATTATCTTGCTTTGCATGTAATGAGTCTATCTCATATATTAGTTTCACCTTTTAAGTTGCATTAGTGAAATAAATGAACTTTGCACGATATTCTAATTATTCGAGTTTCACCTGTATGTGAGGCACATGCATCATAAAGTAAACAAAAATACTTCCTTTACCTTACATGAAAGATCTAAACCCTCCTTTATTTGTGTCTCACATGCTTCCCAGACACTGCAGCCTACAGTTGGAGAGTTTCAGCAACACAGATGGTGCTGTCAATCAAGAAATTGGGGGGCAGGACTAGGTGTGGCAAGTCAAAGGCTTGTAAATCAGCAGTGACAATGCTGATAGGCATACCCCCAGCAACATCGTCTCATCCCACTATACTGCAAGCAGGGACAGCTGAGCTTACATGAGAATGGCAACGCTGCTAAAAATCCAGGAGCAGTGCAGAATCATTGCCACCCCATCATTGAAAGCTGCATGAGGTGAACTGGGGAGCTACGAAAACTGTAACTGCAGATCAACTTACAATCAAGTGCTGACATTTTTTTTATTGGGAGGCCATAGTACTTTATTTTTCTACAGTAAGATTATCTCGCTAGAATGGCACCTAGAAGTGGGTGGGATATATTAGGCAGCAAGTGAGCATTTTGTCCCTCAAGTTGATGTGTTGAAAGTAAAAAAAAAAAATGGGCAAGTGTAAGAGTTTGAGCAACTTTGACAAAGGCCAAATTGTGATGGCTAGAAGACTGGATCAGAGCAACTCCAAAACTGCAGCTCTTGCTGGATGTTCCCAGTCTACAGTGGTCAGGACCTACCAAGGGAAGGAAAACCAGCAACAGTGGCATGGGTGGCCAAGGTTCCTTGATGTACGTTGGGAGCAACAGCTGGCCTGTGTAGTCCATGCCAACAGAAGAACTGCTGTAGTTTAAATTGCCGAAAAAGTTAATGGTTCTGATAGAAAGGTATCTGAACACACAATGCATCACAGTTTGTTGTGTTTTCTTTTGTATTTTTTTATTTTAAACTTTCTACAATTTACTTCTCATACTAATGTACCAAGAGCTGAAGCTATAATCATGTTTAGGGATTCCCTGTGACCTGAAAGTTATTAGAAGGGTTCTGTCAGGGTAAAAATTTAAGAAAGCCTACCTTACTATGATATTGCTGAGCAGGTGTGAGCCTGGGATCAACGCTTTGCTCCCATGGTGCAACAAGTGCTTCCCCTATTCCATTCTGTGTACTATCAGTCAGCATTTTGCAGCTGTAGAAAGGGAAATAGGTACTACAAATACGCTGCTCCACCATTTACAGGAAATGAGCTAAGAGTGAAAACAATAGACTGGTTTGCTCTTCCACCAGAATCCTTCTTTAAAGTGAACTCGGGTGTGGAAATTTGGGAAAAAACTACTTGTCCAAGGACTAAAGCGGGGGCCGAATCTACTTGTCCCTCATGACAATCTACTTGTCCTGATACAAAAAAAATAATTTTAACCAAAACTGTATTTAGCAGTGCTAAGAAGCGCTTCTCATTGGTCAGTGCCGTCAGGTGACCGCGTTGACCAACGAGTGCTTGCAATTTGCGAGAGAAATTCAGAATACATGGAACAGGTACAGATAGTAAAGGTAAATATAGTAGGAGGGAGATTTGTGTGTGTAATTCAATTTTCCCAAATTACTTGGGAAAGTGAATATACCCTTTAGGGTGGGTGGGGTTACATCTGCATGGCAATCGCTGAAAAAAAGGTAGATGTACCTATTTTCACGACATGCACCGCGCAGTGTTTTCAACCGTGATCATGTGGGATCGCCCGGGCGGTATTGCAGCAGGAAAACGCGCAATCTGCCTGGCACGACTGGGGTGCCATTAGAAAATATTGGCACTGACAGTACGATCGGCGGTGGTGTGCGATTCCGTGACAACCCAGCCATCAGCTCGGTTTCTTGCACGATGACCAGGCAATCACGGATCGCAC